GTTTAACAATTACTGATATCACTTTGTATTTGCACTATTTGTATGAAATGCAAATGTATATGGGAAGTGCAATACTTCTTAAAAAAAAAAAAGATTAAACAATTAGGAACACTAACTAGGCATGTAATGCCATAACACTATTCTATAGGCCGATATTAATTAATACACATGGGGGGCAGCTAAAATGAAATTGGTTAAAATCCAAAATTATGTTGTAATACAGTGAGCGCTTGAGTTTAGTTTATAATTGAATATACCAGGTTCAACATTTGGATGTTTCATGATAAAGCACAATGTTATCAATAGGGAAATCTGGCTCTTGCCCCCATCTGAGAGTATGTCAGGTTCTACCATGTGAGAGCATCACATGGTAGAACCTGAAAACCATCAATGGAATCGTGGAACTAAAATATTGATTCCTAACAGGTGTCATGCTGGAGACTTTATCCATGGTTTTAGGTACACAGGTAAGAATTCAGAATGATATCTGTTGTTTTCATTGAATTAAAGCCATACAAAAGAAATCTTTAAAATAATTTTAATTGCTATGTAGAATTATTAAAATGGATGTGTGTTAGGGCGAGGCCTGCTGTGATTGATCTTGAATACTTGATTATTCAAATTGACTACTTAAACAATCGTTATCTGGACATTAAAAAGCACATGTGGCATTATTAGATCAAAATGGAAAACAATTATAATTATAATTTTCATAAATAATATAATTTATTTGTTAGTATTCTCTGTGTAGAAGCTTTCAGTCAATATGATCAAAAAGTATCAAAAAATAATCAAAAACTAACTGACAAATCGACTACTAAAATAGTCATTAATAGTTGCAGGCCTAGATTTTATATACCTTATAAATATGGGTTACATATGGCGACTTGAAAGTGCTCCCTAGCAATACATCATAGTTGCGGCGATATGATACTGATAAAATGGGACTTGGAGCTGCTGATAGCTGATATAATTGCTGTTACATTTAGTGATGTAAAAATTCACTGTAAATCTTGAATTGTTTAAAAAACTTATGTTTGGCTCTAGTGGATTTTAAATTGGGTTTGTTTAGGCTACATTTATTATTATTCTGCCTCTTTACATCATATTTACAGACAGTAGGTCTGCCTAATGGCATTTTTGCATCACATTCTAGCAGCTAGTAAAGAAAGTAAACTACCGCCTTTAACTGTAAATGCGTGCCCCCTGCGATAATTAATTATATGCATAAATGTTGATCATTCACAACTATATTCATGGTTCATTTACATATCAATGCTGGTCCAGTAACATATATGTGGCCAATGTAGTCACTTTACAGTCAGCCAGTAGAAGAGAAAACAGGCTGTTTATGTGTGAGAGCTACAGCAGCTACTCACTAACCAATGAGAAATAACCAAAAGTAGCTTTGAAACCAGCACATTTCCAACACTCACCGCTCACACAGGCTCCTCTCAGATCACAAGTCTGCACGAATAAATGCCCTTTTAATCCAGACTCAAACCAATTGTCCGTAAAAAGAATATAATCTCAGTGTTACACATGGATCTATGCGAGTGTAAACAAGCGTACATGAGTGACATGACTCTGGCGGTGTGTTCAGGGACAGTACGGCCACAGACACAGACAAATTACTCCACAGATAAATACGGATGTGGAGCCACATATTAGAATATTTATCTGTCTGTAAATTGGATTAAATGAGCATAATGTAAAGAGTCTAAGCTTTATAACATGCCCATGTGAAATATCGGCCCATATCGGCAAGATTTAGGCCGATAGCAGATATGTTTCCAGGTGCCCATATCGGTCGATATATATCGGCCAACCGTTTTATTGGTCAGGCCCTACTTGTTATCCTTGTCTACTATGTAGTATTATTAGAATGGATGTGTGATCTTGAATACTTGACTATTCAAACTGACTACTTAAACACTTATTATCTGGACTTTAAAAAGCACATGCGGCATTATTAGATCAAAATGGAAAACGATTATAATTATGATTTTCATAAATAATAAACTTTATTTGTTAGTATTCTCTGTGTAGAAGCTACGTATAGAACAGCTGATAGTCAAGCTCAGTTAAATACAATCAATCAATGAACCTGCCCAGGGACTACAGGTGGAAATTAGCACTGGTGCTACAATCTGGTATAATGCATCTCTCCTGTTAATGTAAAAGGTTAATGTAAAAATTGTGCACTGTCCATGTCTCCAAACAAATTAATAAATAAACAAGTAAATAAAAAGAAAATCAAAAAGTAACTAGTGACTAGTCGACTACTAAAATAATCATTAGTAGTTGCACGCCTAGATTTTATTTTTATAATTATATATCTTATAAATATGGGTTACATATCGCGATTAGCGATTCATCAGACTTGTTACGCTTGTCTTGAATTTATCCAGTGGATTGTGCTTTTACAGTATTTACATTATATTGTCTCTAGTCAGAGCTGTACATCGTGTTCTTGAACATCGGTACCATGGTCACCTGTGGCCCTCCACTAAACTGTCAAGCACACAGCTGATGCCCTGGATCCTGAAGAGGGTCAACGAGGCCTCTGGACCATACCAAATGGTCCAGGTGCTAGGTGACATAGTTCTACTGCAGGGGTTAGTTCAAGTTAATGTTATTTTAATTTTTATTTGTTTTAAATTTTATTAAATTAAATTTAATTTATGTTTTTATATATATTGGAGTTCATCGGTGACTAGAGTCTCAATAATAGCTAACAGTGCAGTTTGACATGCAATCACAACTGATCAATTTACTGACACTATTTCACATAAAACAAATATTTTTGTGGAATACTCAGAGAGAACCTACTGAACACAGATGCCATGCAGACATCTAGTGCCCACAAGAACACTAGCTCTTAATGTTTATCTGAATGTATCCTAATTTTCATCCATAGTTCTCACTGTAAATACCTGGAGGAGTTTCCACTTCCTTGCCTCACTTTTCCTCCCTGTCTGGTCACAAAGTCACCAGTGGACTAATAATCCTTGTTTTGCAATACGGAAAAACGAAAATGGACTTTTTAGGTCATAATAGAGCTGAAACAGACTGGACCAAAGCTTGGAAATCAAACTTTCTTCATCCTGTTTTATACTTCTACGACAAACTTCCTACTGGTGAGTGTCATAGATATTTATTTATTTTAGTAAATGAGCATTTAAAACAGTCATCATTAATATTAATCAGTGGTTGGCCCATTGTCTCCAAATCAAGTTTTGTTTAAAAAAAATGTGTATTACTATAATACTATAAAAACAACAATTGGTCATTGTTCATTTTCTTTTGTAGAAACATGTTTTCATCTATCTTTGACACATCGCCAGCCACCATTGTCCTGTCAGCTTGGATACCTGAGAGGGCAGGGGCTATCCCAAAATGGACGGATTGGACAGTCAGCCAACAACACAGTGATGTCGTCTCCTGGGTTAATTGAAGACAGCCCACCACAGGACAAGACTGTATTGTCCAATTATTTGATTGCCTGACCAGTCAGAAGGGGCTGGAACTAGGTAAAAGGGGGTTAAAATTTGTCCATCCTAACTTGAGACGATCCAACCACAACTGTGAATCTGTAGCAGCTGTCTCTCACACGGACAAGACATCTCTCCAAAATCGTGCTGTGAGCCCGGTGCTGCTCCTGCTGGCTCTTATGACGCGTCTTTACCCTTTTTTTATTAGCTTAGCCATATTTTTGTTTGACCTGGTGAGACTGGACGTCCTGTTTTCATTCTTTATTTTATGTAGAGATAGTTTGTGGGTTGTGTTATTCGTTAGGGTAAGGACAGTGGTTCACTGGCAGCTCCTACAGCCCTGTATAAGGTTGGCCTGTCCAAAGCACCATGCTTATTTTACATTGGCTGGCTCGCCATGGTCTTTTTCGTTGATCCTTTGTTTTTGTTTTGTTTTTTTTAGCTCTTGAATCATCAAAATCTGATAAGATATATGTGTAGGAGCTATTTGCTTATTTTGTTGTTTACTAATTCAGTTTTGTTAATTTGCTTAATATATTTTTGCTATGTTAATATTATTATTGCAATTTCTTAGTCTAAGTTGATATTATTCACGTTTACCTTTTTTGTTTTTGGTTTAATCTGGGTCACCTACGGGATAAAGGAGGGTAGGACGCGTAGACCAGGGTGCACCTGGGTGGGCCTATGGTTTTTTACCAGTCGAATGGAGAGGCAGTAGGAGTTGGCCTTTAACATGTGTCCCTTGTTGCTTGCCAAAACGAAATAAATCTTGGAAACTCAGCTCTGGTCATGGACATTGATTTGTACTAGGTAAACCACATACCCATGGTGCCCAACGGTGATTATTTGAGTTATGTTTAGTTCTGAGTTTGCTCACCGCTTTTGTTTGTTACTTTTATTTGTCAAATAGTCACTACAATGTGTATGCGTTTATTTGGCATTACAAAATTAAAATGCACCATTATTGACCATGGTTGTCATCAAACATACAACATTATCTGCGTAATATTACCATTTGGTAAAATAACTGCTCTTGGTTTTAATACTAATAACAAGAAATTATTTGCATAAATTAAAACTGCATGTTTTTTGTTTTATTATTCTCCTTTTCAGGGGCCATGGTCTTAACATATCGGTCATACACGTATTGGTAGTTTCAGGTCCTTGATTTTGATAATGCCATACTCTCAGATGGGGGGCAAAGGCCAGAGTTCCTTACTTATGGCACTGTACTGTTCAATTAAATACTGGAAAGGTAAATTCCAAAATATTATTGACTGGACCCCAAGACCATGCAATATTACAAAAAAAATCTGCAGCTGAACAGCATTAATTTTAGCTGCCCCTCATATTAAATAATATTGGACTATATTTTTAGGGGTCATTCTCTGTTAGAAATGTATAGTTTGACCGCCAAAAGCCATGAAAAGTATCGAGGAGACAAGAAAATACAAATCGCAGGCTTCATCAGCTCGGTGTGCTAAACACGTGACCACTCCGGGGCGGAGCTAACTTAGGCCAAATCACATCAGAGAGTGTTATGTAGTGTGTTACATGTTTACACAAACGGCACTACAACGATCACCAGCAAACATGTAGCACATTTACCGGAGGGTTGTGCAAAAGGACTCTCCTATTGCAAAAGGTACGGAGTTTTCTGACACACTGTGCGCACTCACATCTGGTTCTTCAGAGAGCGCCAGCTAGCTCTGCTTATCTGCATCAGCAACACAGCTACAAGCTAGCCTCCTGTCCTCAGTATTATATCATTTCTGTAGTGTATTTCACAATATTCTAACATTAAGGTTTTTGGTCACTTTTTTGGGTTTTGCTAAAATGTCAGTGTACAAGTACCATAAATTGTTACGCTATGACCATATAGTTTATGGTCATGATGCATTTTGTCTATTAGAGAAACTTTTACATCTTAAATATTTACATTTTTCTCCAACTACACTTAAAACAGTAGCAGTTTCTTTTATACGACAATACCAAAAGTGCATTTAAATCTCAAATCTGGATCAAATATGGCAAAATTGTCATGGCATATTGTGCTGGCACACAGCTGTAGCATCGCATACAGCAGTGTTGTAATGATGTCCACATAAACTTAATAAGAATAACGCTGATTGGAGCGGCCAGTATGGACAGGAGATTACGGTCAGAGAATCAGGAGACTAGATTAAGCTGAGAATGATATTTAAGGGTGGCAGCAGGTTAAGGAAATATGTATATGTATTAGTCACAGCATAAGCTTAAAATACATCACAAATATGCATTACTTTTCTCTACATATTATTCAAAGAACTCAGGTTACATTTAGAACGTACTGCTGACCTCGATTAGAGCTATCTTAATTGACGGGCCCAATTGATGAAATAAAACAACTAATTAAGACAGTAAAGCGGTTTCACAAGCAGAAACTAGCGGAAACACAAATATCTACAATAGATCTGTAAGTTAGCAACAGTTTAAACATTAAAAATACTCTTAGATCAATAACGCACACAAAAAGGAGCTGCCAAAACAGTGATTAAGTTATGTATAGGTATTCATTCCCTTGCCTTTAACAATTAAACAGTTATTGATATCACTTTGTCTTTGCACTATTTGTATGTAATGCAAATGTATATGTGAACTGCAATATTTCATTTAAAAAAGTGATTAAACAATTAGCAACGGTATCTAGGCATGTATTGTATCAATGGAAACGTGGAACTAAAATATTGGTTCCTAACAGGTGTCATGCAAGAACACAACAGGGCCGGGTTGGCTCATTACGAATAGTAGTTTATAATTTACTCTTTATTTCAGGGAATGGATCCAAGCCGTGTGTATTTGCTGTGTGTCCTGATGGGCTTTATTGCATGTTCACCTCAGCACCCCAATAGTACCCATCATCATGACTACTGTGTACTGGGGGCAGGTCCATCTGGACTGCAGATGGGATACTTCCTGTCTAGAACCCAGAGAGACTACATCATATTAGAGAGGAACTCAGGCCCAGGGAGCTTTTTCACCAAGTAAGGAACTCGTAATTTTCTTTGATCTCTTGTGTATCATTGTTTTATGAACATGCAACGCTAATCCAAATTTGGTTAAAATTTTGGTTGTTATAATTCTGTAACTTTTACCAATTTTTTGTCCCACAGATATCCTAGACACAGAAAGCTGATAAGCATTAACAAGATCCACACGGGCAGTAATAACCGTGAGTTTAACCTGCGTCACGACTGGAACTCTTTGCTGAGTGATAAACCAGACTTGCTCTTTAAACGTGTGAGCAGTGAGTTTTACCCTCCAGCTGACATGTATCCCTTGTACCTGTCCCTGTATGAACGAGAGCTGGGCCTGAGGGTACGATACGGGGTAGACATTGGACACATCAGAGCCCTTTCATCAGACAGTGGGAGGCAGTATGTCCTCACTGATCAACAAGGCTCTTCATATTTCTGCAGGTACTTTTGTTTTGAGTGTTTGTATTGTTTGTTTCAGTTGTCCAGGTAGGATCACTCAGTTGTCCTGGTAGGATCCATAGCAAATGAGAAATTATATTCTGTCAAATGGACAAAAGTTTTTTGGTTGAATACATTTCGCAGCTCATCCAAGCTGCTTCTTCAAATTTAGTCAGATTGCTGGTGGACACAGTCCTGAAGGGTGGAGCCAGCTAACACAATTTCTCCTTTGCTATGGTTGTATTGTTGTAAATTGCATTTAGTTTTGGCAATTAATAATTTTATTACTGACCATTGTCTCTGTTTTGTTATACAGTGTCCTCCTGTTAGCCACTGGTTTGTGGGTACCTCAGATCATTGAGTTTGTGGGCTCAGATCTGGTGGAGGGGTATGAGTCCATCTCTACAAACCCAGAGGACTACAAGAACCAGGCTGTTCTCATTCTGGGGAAGGGAAACTCTGCCTTTGAGACTGCTCAGAGTCTGTTGGGAAGTGCTAGTCGAGTTCACATGGTCAGCCGCAGCCCAGTCAGACTGGCCTGGCAAACACACTATGTAGGAGACCTAAGGTATCAATGAAATATTATTCATGCTGAAAGCTAAAAGGTTTTTGCTATAGTTTTATTTTGGTATCATTTAGAGCAGTAGGCTCAAAAAGTGCAAAACATTTAACGCTAGATTTGTAAATCACACAGATCCATGTGTTTTCTTCTAGAGCTGTGAACAATGAGGTCCTGGACACATATCAGTTGAAGTCTCTTGATGGCTTAGTGGAGAGCCACCTTGAGGAGATTGCCATCACTAAACAAACAGAGAAGAGCAGAAGAAACAAGAAGGAGAAGCTGTACCTGACTTTAAATAAGTTCATGCAGAATGGAAACAGTAGTTCTAATCTGAGAGCAGAGGAGCTGTCCGGCTATCACATCGACAACTTCTCTATGAGGAAACCCTACGACCGTGTGATTCGCTGTTTGGGGTTTAGATTCAACTTTAGTATCTTTGACAGGTATTGTTATTACCATTGTCAACACTGTATGTATATAAATTAATCAATAAGTAAAAGTTTAAAAAGTATAGGTACCACGGTTTTGTTTTGCTAGTAATCCAATTTTGTAAATGTGCCTGCTAGGACTGCATGCCCGCCCAATAGTGAGAATGCCAAAGGGAGGTTGCCCGCGGTGACGGCCTGGTATGAAGGGAAAAACACTCCTGGTTTGTTTGTGCTGGGGACAGCTGCCCACTCAAGAGACTATCGCATCTCTGCTGGAGGCTTTATCCATGGTTTTAGGTACACAGGTAAGAATTCAGAATGATATCTGTTGTTTTCACTGAATTAAAGCCATACAAAAGAAATCTTTAAAATAATTTTAATTACTATGTAGTATTATTAGAATGGATGTGTGATCTTGAATACTTGACTATTCAAATTGACTACTTAAACACTTATTATCTGGACTTTAAAAAGCACATGTGGCATTATTAGATCAAAATGGAAAATGATTATAATTATGATTTTCATAAATAATAAACTTTATTTGTTAGTATTCTCTGTGTAGAAGCTACGTACAGAACAGCTGATAGTCAAGGTCAGTTAAATACAATCAATCAATGAACCTGCCCAGGGACTACAGGTGGAAATTAGCACTGGTGCTACAACCTGGTACAATGCATCTCTCCTGTTAATGTAAAAGGTTAATGTAAAAATTGTGTGCTGTCCATGTCTCCAAACAAATTAATACATAAACAAATAAATAAAAAGAAAATCAAAAAGTAACTAGTGACTAGTCGACTACTAAAATAATCATTAGTAGTTGCAAGCCTAAATTTTATTTTTATAATTATATACCTTTATAAATATGGGTTACATATCGCGATTAGCGATACATCAGACTTGTTACGCTTGTCTTTATCCAGTGGATTGTGCTTTTACAGTATTTACATTATATTGTCTACAGTCAGAGCTGTACATCGTGTTCTTGAACATCGGTACCATGGTCACCTGTGGCCCTCCACTAAACTGTCAAGCACACAGCTGATGCCCTGGATCCTGAAGAGGGTCAACGAGGCCTCTGGACCATACCAAATGGTCCAGGTGCTAGGTGACATTGTTCTACTGCAGGGGTTAGTTTAAGTTGATGTTTTTTTATTTTATTTATGTTTTAAATTGAAATGTATGTTTTTATATATATTGGAGTTCATGGGTGACTAGAGTCTCAATAATAGCTAACAGTGCAGTTTGACATGCAATCACAACTGATCAATTTACTGACACTATTTCACATAAAACAAATATTTTTGTGGAATACTCAGAGAGAACCTACTGAACACAGATGCCATGCAGACATCTAGTGCCCACAAGAACACTAGCTCTTAATGTTTATCTGAATGTATCCTAATTTTCATCCATAGTTCTCACTGTAAATACCTGGAGGAGTTTCCACTTCAAGCCTTGCCTCACTTTTCCTCCCTGTCTGGTCACAAAGTCACCAATGGACTAATAATCCTTGTTTTGCAATACGGAAAAACGAAAATGGACTTTTTAGGTCGTAATAGAGCTGAAACAGACTGGACCAAAGCTTGGAAATCAAACTTTCTTCATCCTGTTTTATACTACTACGACAAACTTCCTTCTGGTGAGTGTCATAGATATTTATTTATTTTATTTGTTTTTACTGTTTTAACAGTCAAATGTAAAATCTGTCTCTTTCAATAGAGGAAGAAATGAAGCTCTGTCCACATGGTTGGCCCTTACCAAGGCCGAAAGCTATTCATCACATAGTGGAGGACTTCCTCACTGAATGGGATGCTCCCATATCTCACATCCAACCACTGCAGCGTTTCCTGGAACACTGTGTCCAGACTGATCTTAGACATTTCTATGCAGGTATGTTGGTTGATTCAGTCATTTATAAGGAAGCAAATATCCTAAAACTGCCCACCTCTAATTCCTTTAACTGCTTTGTGTTAGCACTCGTCACAGGAAATGTACAAAATTATCATTGCATTACATTTTATGATGGGCATTGTATTGATACCCCTATAACGGTAATATCTAGCCAGTGCTACAGCCATATTGACAATACCAAAGACACATTGTAAGATATTATTTTAATAAATGAGCAGTCATGATTAATATTAATCAGTGGTTGGCCCATTGTCTCCAAATCCAAGTTTATGTTTCAAAAAAACGTGTATTACTATTTAATAACAACACGCTTAATTGGTCATTGTTCATTTTCTTTTGCAGAAACATGTTTTCGTCTATCTTTGACCCATCGCCAGCCACCATTGTCCTGTCAGCTTGGATACCTGAGAGGGCAGGGGCTATCCCAAAATGGACAGATTGGACAATCAGCCTACAACACAGTGATATCATCTCCTGTTAAAATTGATCATACCTCACCACAGGACAAGTCTGTATTGTCCAATTATCTGAAACAAGCTGGAATCCCCTTGTCCTCAGGAATTAAACATGAACTCTGATTATGCTGATCTGACTGTGCCTACATTATCCATCCTTTCTACCCTCAGCTGCTCAACGGTTGGCTAAAACTGGAATAGATATTCACTTAACAACATATCACTAAAAAAATCTGGCACAGGCACAATGTTAGGTTACTTCATAAATTGCCAATTAGTTTACTGAATTCATGTGGTGACAATACCTGGAACTTCTTGTTAACTAATGCATGTCAGTGAAGCCTGATTGCTAACTGTTAAGCAGCACATACTAAACGGTTTGTGCTGGCTTCAGTGCTATGAGATTAATTTCCAGGGCTCACAGTTTACTGAATGTGGTCCCTGCAATTCACCTCCACTGCCCTCTTTCACACTATATTGTCTTGCATACAGTGCACTATTGTATATCACTGGACAGCTATTTTTCTGAAAAGTATAAATAACTGACACTTTAAAAAAAGTGCCTATCCATGCTCATGTGGGTTGTCAGCATAGACCGCAAATCTATGTACTAGTCCATCTCAAAAAGTTCAACATTTTTTGCCACATATATTATATAAACTTGCAAGCTTCACTCTGAGTTATATAATTTAGGGATTTGACTTTCTGAAATGAGTGACAAAAAAATAATAATGAACTTTTTCATGATATTAATTTTTTTTTAGATGGACTAGTATATTTTAAATTATTTAATTCTATGCCATTTTCAAGTTTATCATGATGTGTATATAATTTTCTATGGTGTACTAAGTTTATGGGTGACTATGTAAATTAATGTAAATAAAATTATTTTATAGCACCGCGCATGCGTAGTCATTTCTGGTATTTCTCGCGATACCATTGGACAAGAGTGACGCAAAAACGTATTCGCTCATTGGTTGAAATCTGCGAGTACTATCGACTGTACAATAGGCGTGTCTTTTACTAGTTTTATCTAGAAAATGTGAGACGGGATGCGTGAATGCTGCAGGAATAGCTTCAATTATAAAGAAAGATAAAGTGTAGACAGTAATGTGCTTAATTCACATTTTTCGTCTGGAATGGACTGCGTCTAGTGAAGCGACTGCTGTGTAAAACACAATCCCCTTATGTTGTGATCGCAACAGACTATGGACGGGTGGAGCCCCATCGTTGCTACCGTTTCTGACAACGACAGGTCCAGCTCGGAAGGGGAGTACATGATCGAACCAGGACCCGAAAACGAAGCGAGAAAAGCGGATGAGGGCGAGCAGCAGCAGCGGGGCAGCATGGACATGATGGAAGACGGAGGGACGGCTGTGGGTTTTGGCTTGAGTGGGATAGGGGAAGGCAAGGTGCTGCTGGGTCGAGTAGGACAGATGGACGATAAAGAGCTGCGGTACTTGCACTTGTTATGGCAGCCAGGACGAACAGAGGGAGACTCCGGAGGGGGGCAGAAGAAACTTGGGAAGGTGCTGGTTGGCAAGTCCAGGAGGCACCAACGGGCAGTGCGTAGTCTGGGTCCCAGTGGCAAAGACATTTATGGTAAGGGTCCATTCAAGAGTGTTCAATCATTGACTATACATTCCTAGCAATTATTAGGTCTACCAAATTGTTTGCGCTCTTCACCGGAACTTCATGATGACACATTTCGTCTTCAGCTCTTGAAACAAAAACTCCCAGAAGATACATTTATGCATGTTTGACATTACAAAATTAAAATACACCATTATTGATCATGGTTGTCATCAAGTACACAGCAGTGTCTGCATAATATTACCATTTAGTAAAGTGACTACTCTTGGTCTTAATACTAATAACTAGGTATTGTTTCCATAAACTCTGCTTGTTTTTCTAGCTGTGAAAAGACTGAGAGAAGCAGCCAACGGCAATGACATTGATACAGGTAGGAGATGTCTGTTGTTCTGTTCTGAAATACTGGTAACATCCTCTAAAATATGTTTACTGTGTGTTTGATCAGTCCGGAGGCTCCTGGAGGATGACATAGACCCATGTGCAGCAGATGACAAGGGAAGAACTGCGCTCCATTTCTCCTCTTGCAATGGCAATGAAAGCATTGGTAGGTCTGGTGTGATTGGCTAATACAGTTACTCTGTTACAGCTGCATGTGCCCTGTTAGACACATTTACATTACATTTATTGATGAAAGGTATAATATGCTTCCTGTATTCTGTTTTTAGTGCAGTTGTTGCTGAGCTATGGTGCTGATCCCAACCAGCGGGACAGTCTTGGAAACACACCTCTACATTTGGGTAAAGAATTGCACTTTTGTATTTTGACTTGGACATGACTTACCATAACAGTGTTGTTTTTTTCTGTGTCTGTTTGCTCACATCTCATAATGTAGCAATATTGTCCACAACAAAAACATCTGTGGGTTGGGGTTTGGGTAGGCTGATTGCTCTCTCTGTGTATGTTTTTTGCAGCTGCCTGTACCAACCATGTGCCTGTCATCACCACACTGCTCAGAGGAGGTAAGACAAGCTGTAATGGTAGACACATGTCTACCTATCTAGCATTGTTTATATATATTTAAAAAGACCACCTGGTTTAAGAATAGCAGTTAATACATTTCACAAAGGTATTGGTTGTACCCAGTCTATGAAAATAATCTATTAGAAATACATTTGTAAAAATTATAATTATCTAGGAAAATTCACAGATCAATTGAATAAGCTGGTTAGTGGTTTTATGTAATTGTATATATTTATCAGGAGCCCGTGTTGACGCCTTGGACCGAGCTGGCAGGACGCCACTACATTTAGCCCGTTCCAAACTCAATATATTACAAGAAGGAGATTCTCGCAGCCTTGAAAACCTAAGGGGAGAGGTCACACAGGTAAAAGAGGAAATGCTTTTAACAAGAATTTTGCAGGTTATATTTTTATGTAACATGCTTTTTTTCCCCTCAGATTATTCAGATGTTGAGGGAGTACCTAAATTTGATGGGTCAGAGTGAAGCGAAGGAGAGACTCGAACACATATCAACGCAGCTTCAGCACACACGCACTAAAGAACAGGTTGGATGACAGACAGACTAAAATGCTTATACTTTCAATTAATATGACCAGATTTTCCTAATATATTGTTATTTTTCTATTCCTCTAGGTGGATGAAGTGACTGATTTGTTGGCCAGTTTTACGTCCCTCAGCTTACAAAAACAGAATTTGGGAGATAGGTAGAAAAGACATGTAGAGAGCTGGAATCTCAGTTTTTAAATAATTATTTAAAGTTTTGATTGAGTGTAAATCAGTGACTGTTTATGTTGATCAGGTATACCATTGTGACCACTGACAGGCAAAGTCAGTAACACAGACAGTATTATCTCTCCAACATGGAAGGAGTTAAAATTCTCTACTTAAGAATCTATAAAGCTTTCAGTGATTTGATGAATACCAAAATGTGGCTAGCTGATGATGAGTCAGAGCATCTACAAAACTGCAGCAAAAGAAATTCACCAGAACGTGGTTCGGCTGGAGGGAACCAATAGGGTTAACACTAATCCATTACAAACAAACCTCAAATTGTTTCTCTGTTTATCAGCATGCTCATTTATGTTTTATCATTAACTGAGAATTGCAGGAGGCTTCAACACTGTATCTTTAAGTGTTCTTGAGTTTTGTTTTGTTAGGGTGATTTCACTGCTGATTCAGGTTCTCATATCACTGACTTTGTCTTATTGCCGTCTCATTTGTGCTGTATGTTATATGGAAACTTGTTTTGTTTTCTGTGACTAAAAAAGATATTTGAGGACAATAAATCTGTATATTTCACAGTATTTCGGTGCTTTCAGTGGAAGTTCTTTTTTTCTTCATATGAAATATTCAAAGTGTTTAATCCTAGAAATTTCATCTCAAAATCGGGAATCGCAAAAACCTGGGTGATAAAAACAAAGCAATAGAGGACTGGATTGGGACCAGCAATGTGGCATAAGCGATAAGACAAAATTCTGAAGGCAACTTACGCAATAAATTTCAGCGACTGAATAGGCATAAAAACAAATTAAATTAATGTTTTAAAAATGTCTTAAGTGTTGCAGTTGCAGAGCACAACACAGGAGCAGTAAATGATTTTTCTGCGATACCTAACCATTAGGTAAGCTTATTGTAGGTTTTCTATGCCCGCTGACTTTTAAAATGTCTTATTATGGCACTTGCAGCCCTTTGTAGTTTTTCCAGCTCGTTGATTGGCTCTGTCAGCCAAGCTCCTCCCACCTACAGGCGTGTATTGTTGTCGATGAAAACAAAGATGGCGACTGGGTCCGCGTAAATTGGACATTTATCAAAGGTAAAATAGCAGAATGAATAAGTTCTTGCTGTTCAAAGTGTTGTAGGTTCTACTCCTGTCGACAATAGTAAAAATGCAAATATCAGCACTGTCAAATGCATGCAGGATAAAGCGATTTCGTATCCCGTTTCAACTTAGGCCTAGTTAAGAGCAGGAGCCTCGGTCTAGGCTTCGCCTCTGTGTCCGAACAGCAAAGGCCATCCTCGGCTGAGTAAACTTAAACCATGATAATAGTAAAGTGCCAGTACTCTGAATGAACTGAGAGGGGGTGTGTTTGTGCAGATGTGCGTAAGAAGGCGGGAGATGCTTTACAATCAACCTTCTACAAATAATATTGTGAAACAAGTAAATATATATCCTTCAAGAATGTAAGTTTATAACAATTTGGAGAGGATTGTCATGTAACACTGTAAGCACACATTAAACTGTTTGCATAGCAAGGATCACAGGGTAGTTCTTTCTTGTTATACTAAAACTATATTTTGAATAGATGTTAGACAAACAAATCCATGTTATATAAAACTAACGTTTATATTTACAACAGCTTATGATTGTGGAGAACACAAAATCAGAAAGGACCCATGGCATTTGAAGAAATTAAAGGTAATATGAAATTATCAAATGTATAATAAAAAATACCTAACAAATAATTAACTTTGCTCACATTCTTCTGGTTGGTGTTTTAGATATGGGGATGGATGGGGACCGGGGGTTAGTGGCTGGCCGCAGTCAAAGAGAGAAGAGAAGGTCCTACAAAGATCTTCTGAGAGAGGAAGAAGAGATAGCAGCTGAGGTCCGTAAGTCCTCCAAGAAACGTCCAAAGGTAATATAACATTCATAACACAACGTCAATTAGATATATTTTTCTTTACACAACTCCTAAATACTTTTAAACTCTTAGGAAGCTGAACTGTTCATGATGGGGACTGAAACTCACAAGAAAAAGAAAAAGCACAGTGATGACTATTATTACAGAGGTAAATTTTCTCAGATGTTTTTGTTTGTTTGTTTGTTTTTTTAAATCAAGGAAATATTGAAGAGCCATCAAATAAATGTTAAAGGTGAAAGGTAAATTGTAAAGTAAATCTGTGCTAAATTTCCAGTATTTATCTTTGTCAGATTACGATGGCTCTGGACCTCCTCCACATAAGAAGAAGCACAAGTCTGTGGACCGCTCCCCCACACTGTCCCCCTCCTCCTCCCACCCAACCGACACAGCCATGGGTCTCCTCCAGGCCATCACCTCCCCTCTAGCCACTGGCTCAGACCCCAACCCGCACCTCCACAAGAAGCCCTCTTACCCCTCCTTCTCGTCCCACTCGTCCAAAGAGCGCAAACGTGAAGGCAGTGGCGGAGGGAGTAAAAGCAGCCACGCTTTCTCACACTCCCGCCCCTCTTCTTCGTCCTCAAAAAAACATTCCTCCTCTTCCTCAAAGTCATCTCTTTTCCATGGCGGACTACCCAAAGAAGAGCCGCTGACACTACGGGAAGCGGATGGACTCAAGATGAAGCTGATCATGTCGCCTGAGAAAGAGGAAAGCGATGGCTACATGTACGCACCACACTCTAAAACAAGTGTGAAGAAGGAGAAAGACAAAGACAGGGTTCAGATCTCAAAGTCGCCCAAAAAGAAGACGCAGCAGAGTCGGGAGCCTTTGCCGGTGGTGGGCAAAGAGGTGGAGGTTGAAGGTGAGAAAGACATTTTCTCACCTTATTTTTTCAAAAATTATAGCCCATAATATTTCATATGTATGATGATTTTATTTCAGATTTCTAGGGATATAACAATAACTGAAATATCGTGATATTGTATCATAAAAAGTCTCACAGTAATATCGTGGACTGTCACAATATTTCGAGTTACAAGTTCCTTTGCTTAAATGCATGGTTTTATAGTAGCAACAGCTTATAAACATAGGGAACTACATACCCCATGATTCATTTCAGTGCAAACGATATGAAGAAATATGTTTTTTTACTTGAATTCTTGGGTTGATGATGGAAATAGGTCACACCTAAATTTTTTTTAAGGTATTTTAAAAGCAAAAAAGTTTCTTATCTACAATTACATTAGCCTCTCCAAAATATTGTGAGATGCATATCGTGATAATATCGTACCAAGAGATTTGGATATCTTCAAACAAAATGCCATGGTGGCCAGCAGGGTTTCTGATGTGCAAGAGCTTGCCATGTGCTGGGTACTGAGGAATGATGTTCAAATGAGGATTAAAAAAAGGTCTGCTAGCTTCAAGTTTGAGATGCATCCTAAATTTCTCAAATGGTGAGGTATGGACACATATATTTTTCTGGTAGTATAGTAATAAGCACATAATATTTTAACACTGAATTTTCTGAGCACTTACGTCTCAAATGGAAGACAACACAGGACAATTCAAACATGGACTTTTTTGCATATCTCTTTAAACTAAAAGGAGCCCCTCCTTGTGTAATGACATCACAAGGTGGACTAGATTTTCCAACTCTAAATGTGTAGTGTATGACAAATCCCATTACGTTTCGTTGCATGTGAACTATGCTCACAGGTCACTACGGAGGAGGCCTGGGGGAGGACAGCTCTTCATCTGGAGGCGAGTTGGAGGCAGGTGAACTAGTGATCGATGACTCTTACAATACACACATGTCCAAGAAGAAGAAGAAGAGCAAAAAAAGCAAGAAGAAGAAGGACAAGGAGAAAGACAGAGATCGAGAGAAGAGCGGGAAGGACAAGAAACACAGCAAAGGTTTGGGAAGTTAATGTAAATAAAAATAAACACAAATTCACACTCTCTAAATGGTTGTTAATTATGTTCTATCCACTAGACCCATCAAGACACAGTCACTCCCACCCCACAGTCACCCATAGTGCGGTTGGACCCATGTATGCCATGGGTGCAACCCTCCCTCCACACCACCATCAGGGTGTAGAAGCAATACCAGAGAAGAAGAAGAAGAAAGAGGAGAAGGATCGAGATAAACATGAGAAAGACAAAGAGAAGGTGGGATCATTCATCATCAAGAGGCATTCATATATATATTATTCTCTACTTCTCTTACTCCTGTGTTGACTGAAGCATACCTCACAAGTACTGATGTTTTATTTCTTTGTGTTTTTTGTTCCCGCCTAGCCCAAGAAAAAGACCACAACTACTGCATATCAAGTATTTTGTAAAGAATATAGAGTAAACATCAATGCAGAACAGCCAGGATTGGGTGTGTTCAGTATTTAAATGCCTGATTCCCCTTTGGTGTCCTGGTGTTTAACCTTATGTTTGTGCATTGTTAGTTTTTGGTGAGTTGAGTAAGAAGTTGGCAGAAGTGTGGAAAGCAATGCCAGAGAAGGACAAACTGGTGAGTTAATATTTAGTTCATATATTTCATGTAGTTCATATTTTCATGTTATTAACAATATACAATAAAACTGTAAATTTATATAAATTTGTTGTTTGTGTCCAGGTGTGGAGGCAGAAAGCTCAGCACCTACAGCACAAACAGAACAAAGCTGAGGCCACAACAGTCAAACACAAAGGCTCAGCTGACGGGAAAGGCAAAGGTCGGCTCATAAAAGGTGTACTTGTAAAAACATGTTATGGTTATTCACTTAGTTTTGGGTTAGAATAAGGTCCAATGCTTAAGTTGCACTGTGCAACATTTCTGGTAGAGGGTTTGCTACTTGCTTTGATGATGATATTGCTTTGCCTTGAATATTTCTCAGTATTGCATTAAACCTAATCTATCTTGCATTTATTCAGTTACAGGACCCACTACGAGAAAGTTGCATTGTACACCTTTAGCTATATTTTAAGGCCACTGGGAGTAGATCTGTATGTATTAATTCTGTTGGTGTATATAATAGGGAGTGGGAGCTCTGTGGGTATGGTGTCCCCACACAAATCCCACAGTGTGTCGCTGTCCCCAGCAAGAGTCCCAGAGGTGGACCCCATTGACGCCGCAGCCCATCTGCAACTTCTGGGAGAGTCCCTGTCTTTGATAGGCCACAGGTTGCAGGAGACAGAGGTCTGTATGATACACATTTTCGCATTTACCAATGGCTCCAGCTAAAATCAATGTAAACTGTAATCACATATGTTTTGTTCTGCATTTTGACCACAAAGTCTCCTCTTTTGTTTGACAGGGGATGGTGGCAGTATCAGGGAGTCTATCTGTGCTGTTGGATTCCATCCTTTGTGCACTGGGCCCTCTGACATGTCTCACAGCACAAATCCCACAGTTAAACGGCTGTCCACGAAAAGTCCTGGTACGGCAATTTTAATTTTAATTGTGGATCAAATTGAAATATATACATATATTTTTGCTTTTTTTTTTTTTTTAACAGTCAAATACATTGGACAACATAGCCTACATCATGCCTGGGCTCTGAGTGACTCATTTCAATCATGGCCTGATGTTTGATGACCTGGACATTTCTTGTCTGTAAATGTTTTTATTAACTGTATTCTTATAATTTGAAAAAAAAAAAAAAACATTGTATTTTAAACAAGGATTTTACGGATCATTGATTTTAAAGTGGATCATGTATGTGTGAATGAGTATTTGTCAGGTCAGTATGATTTTATATTTTGTACTGAAATTGTATAGGTCATAGAATCATCCATAAAACAGCATTATAGGTTCATTGTATGTGAAATGTTCTGCCTTTGCTGTAACTTTTTACAATTTAAGATTGAATCGAATCATCACTTCTGGATATGATCAAATTCTAAATAATGAATTTTACAATGTAATAAATACAAATTCTTGAATGTGTTAAATGTGTATTTTGTAGCCAGTGTGAGTAATGGCTCAACTGACTTTTTGACTTCTTCACCTCACACGGATTTTAAGTGTAATAATGTGTCTATGCACTAATTATGTGATGTTTAAAATGCACTATTTCCTTTATTTTTTCAGTTCGCTTACATTCTCCTGTTATCTTTGCCTTTTTGTGCATCTTCACTTTTCACCCAATGCAGCCTTTATGTATTCCTACCATCAACTAAAAGAAGCAAAAAAAAGAACAAGCTACAATCATACAATTAATCCTCGTAGTAGTCCCTTATTCACCGTGGATCCCCTTTAAAACAAATTTTCATCTGAGCACTATTAGGCCTATATCATGTCGAGTCAAGTATTTTTCGAAGTCAAATTTGTTTTTGCCTACACTACAACCTGTGTAACTTGTTATAAACATTAGGATCCGCACCGTAAGAAGATGCCAAAGCTCCAGTCAGCGCATGCCCGGAGTGTGCAGGGCTGTAGCTGCTGATGCGCTGAACAGCTGCTTCAGAGTCACTGGTCACTGTAGGAACGAGGAAGTGCTGCTTTACAAACAGTTCACCCCATCAGAAGAGAGCCGCGTGCAGCTCCAGGAATGTCAGCTTCTAATCTGTCCGGTAAGACTTATAACATGACATTTATACGAAAATAGATCTTATTATTGATAGTAAACTGCGCGGATCTCAGATTCGCCAGAGTAGACAGCCGCACCTACTTTAAAACTCTGCAGTTCGTCCATTTATAGTGTTTCACCTTTGATGACAAGTCTTTAACCAAACAACTGTCGCTGCTTGTGTAGCCGTGTTTCTATGTTGTTAATACAGCTGTTAAGTATAAAAAACACTGCTGTAGTGTTAAAAAAACAACAACAATGCTGACTATTTCCATTGCGCAGCAGAGATCCGGGTGGTGGTACTGGGCCGGGCCGGGGCAGGGAAGAACTCCACAGTGAGCACCATCCTGGGCCAGGAGGGCGGCGCAACTCTCCGTCAAGAATGTAGTAAACACACGGGCCAAGCTGCAGGCAGACAGGTGAGACACAGCCTCAGAGACAGTCAAAGAAGAGTGAAAACATAACACACATAACTACTATGTGCAGATGATGGAAGGTGAAAATATTTTTGTACATAATGATAATCATAAAAGAAAGCAGACTAGTGGGCCTAATACCGACTCTATTTTTAAGATACTGAAGGTAATTTAACAAATTAATGTGATTGTTACAATCGCATCACATATTCCCTGGGCAACAGAGTGCCAAGTTAGGTGGTAAGAAGGTCCTTGGTTTGATTCCCAGGCCGAATGGGACCTTTTGTGTGGAGTTAAGGAGATTCCATCCCCATGATGCACTTTTGCACATACAATAACTAATAATAAAGCACTTGACTCTGCCTCTACCAGGTGACTGTAGTGTCCAGCACTGACTGGTTCGGTTCAAGCTGCGTCCCAGAGGACAGGAAAAGGCAACTATCTTCACTGTTGGCCTTGTCCAGCCCCGGGCCCCACGCCGTCCTTCTGTGTGTGCCCCTAAACCAACCTGCTGATGGCGAGACCAAGGCTCTGGATGTTCTCGAGAAGCTCCTGGGTCAAGCCATGGTCCAAAAACACACCATTGTGATGTTTACCCACACAGAAGAACTGGATCACGAGGAGGGCCTGGAGGACTACCTCCTCAACTGGAGGAAGGACCTGACTGAGTTGGTGAGGAGGTGTGGGGACCGCTACCACACGCTGGAGACACAGCCGGGTAGGTCTAAAATGTGTTTGTTACCCAGAATCACTGCTGGCTAATCTAAATATATGTGCTCACATATATATTAATGAGATAAGTGTCCTCTAGGCACTTCGGTTTCAAATACTACTTAAGCAACAGGGTCCCCTTTGGGGCCAGGACCACAGATGAAATTCCAAATCTCAATGAGAGTATCCCGGTTAAACAGAGTAATAAATAAAACCCTTTAAGACAGCTGATAATGTGACATAACTCAAAATAAACAATTACATCTTTAAAAGTTGAAGTGCATTCAACTACTGAAAGATTATTGAAGTATTATTGATCATTGAATGTCTAGGTAGAGCAGAGCCCAATGAAGCAGTCAGAGAGCTGCTGGACAAAGTGGACCAAGTCGTGATGGAGAGCGGGGAGGACCACTTCAGTTGCCAACTGTACCAAGACATAGAGGAACAGATCCAGAAGAGACAAAGGGAGATCGTCAGACAGAGACAAGCAGATGGACTGGACTCTGAAGATGAAGAGGGGGTGAGGCTGGAGGCAGAGAATAGCATAGGAGATATAGACCTGAGTTTAGATGCTCTGTTCCCATGTAGTGATGTCCAGGTTTCACAAGGCTCCTTCTTGTGGAGGCTATGGGAAAAGCTCACCAGCTGGGTGTGGGGGCTACCTAAACTGGTGAGGAGAGAGGCTCTGTTGGGGGCTCTGGTTGGGCTCTTTGTGGGGGGGCCAGTGGGTGGGGCAGTAGGGGCTACAGTTGGGTCAGTGGCGACTGAAGTAGGCAGAAGAAAAACACAGAAAACAAAATAAAATGCAAAATCAGAGTTAGGACATTTTTAATGGAATGCACCTTAACGTCACATCACTGTTACTGTGCACCCATCAGCTGCAGAGCTAGAGCTTCCTTATTACTAAGCCTCCAGTGTGAAGAGAATTTAACCTTTATCTGTGCCTCAATTAATCATGAAAATGACTACTGTTCAGTACAAGCCTACACAATAAGTGCCCTCATCTTGGTAGATAATGGCTCAGTAGTATTTATTTCTACATTTAAATGGTTGTAATTGCACTCTGAAAAGTTATTCTCTTGTTTTACAGTGTTGTTACATAATTAACTTCAGGAAGAAGTTAATTGCATTATTTTATTATTATAATTACTTAAGAATGTCGGTTAGGGGTAGAAATTTGATACACCTAAATATGGTCCTATTTACACAAGTAATTATATATTTTTTTTATTAATTTGTAGTCTGTTCAATGAACTGAGCATGATAGAACTCAAGAAGATATTTATTTTATAATTTGATGTTGTTTGAAAGTGATTGTTTGTAGCACATATGGTGTTATTGCGATGATGGAAACACGTCTCTCAGATATATAACTAAAGACACACTAAATATCACAGTTTGGAGGCCCTGCTGAATAAACTATCTTATCACACATTTCTGAGACCAAAGAACGTTTGTCCAACTTGCTGAATGCTACACTTTGGATGTCCACATGGTGGAGCCATTCACCTTCAAATTAAGCATTATAAGTTTTACATTGGTTTTTAATACACCTATATCTGTATTTAATTTTGTGTGGATAAAAAAGCACTATCCTTTAGAGTCTGTCGGTTGAAGACCCAGTAAGACCTTGAGAGAACTGGTAATGGCAGAAGTCATTAGTATGACACAATTATGTACAGTAAAAGTTACAAATTGTGGTTTTTCAATTTTGGGACACAAGTCAGTGGAATTTACACATTTACACACATATACATACATACATACATATATATATATATATATATATATATATATATATATATATATATATATATATATATATATATATATATATATAAAATGTTTATTTCTAAAATAAAAATTAAAAAAGAAAACAAAACTGAAATTGGCTAAAGAAAGAAAGTGATCATTAGTCATGGAAAAGAAATAGAAATGTATTTAAAATATCACTTACTGGAAAATAAATAAACATTTAAATTAAGTTTATTTAAGCAATTATGCACAGAAAGGCACATTAGTGTGTGGCTTCCATTTGTTTATGGGTAAAAGAGTAGAAAAGCGTTACTGTTGTATAAATACTATCTATCCTTGGCACTTGGAGTCTGAATCAGATATCGGTCTATACTTGCTTTGCTGTAATTTAATTTGGCATTTGATACACTTAAAAAATAACTTTGGGCCGGTTGCGGGATGATAACGGCATATCTCATTTTAAAAGTAAGAAGTGCATACTTCTGATTTTTTTGTCAACAGATTGTTGGTGTTTTACTTTTCTCTTTTAAGTTTCTGTAGATCCTTATGAATAGAACAAAGCTTCAGCCTGTGTTCACAATAGAAGGTTATACTGTGACACGGCTGTAATGAATACTCAGCTAAAACTGCTAACCTGCTAACCATCCTCACGTCTCTCTCCCTCTCTGCCTCACTCCGTCGTCTCTGCCTGCCCCGAGAACTGCAAGGCGTTTCCGAATGTGGGTGGTCCGGCTGTGCGCTGGTTGGTGGGAGGTTGGAGAGCGAATTAGCTCTGCTCTCATGTTTCCCTGAAGAAGAGAGAGTGAGAGAGAGGCAGTGAGAACTACATCTGTCTGCCAGATGTGTGCTCCGCTGTTGTATGGAAGAAGGGCAGAAAACAGGTTTCAAAAGTAACAGAGAATTGGTGCTAAACTTTTTTTTATTGTCAGGGATTACACATGCAGAATGGAGTTTATGCCACTGACGGAGGCTGCATGCTTCTCTCTTCATGAAACGTCAGACTACTCTCTTCAAGTCCATGTATGTAGGAGAGCACCTGTCCAAATATTATTCAGCTCTCACTGGATACACAATGGATAAAGCGAAGTACAAAGATGAAGTTGGCTTTATGCAGAAATTAATGAGTCTTTTTTGGAGAGCAAAATGTTTCTCTAGGTTTAAATCTGTGGTGATGACGACAAAGGGCAGCATGACTGTATAAGTTAAATATTTGATAAAAAAAAAAAAAAATCTGACTACTTTGAACACAATACTTAAATATAGCACTCAAATATTAAAAATACTTTGCCAGTTTGCTACTAAATCACTAATCACTATTCTAACCTATTGTTTTCACTGTACCACATTTCAAACTAAATCTTGATACTAAGGACATACTCAGTACCGAATTTGAAACAACAATGAAAACAAACACTTTAATGAAAAATTATGGAAAGACTTTTGTTTCTGTTGTAAGTGCCATACAAATACTCTGAGTGAAAATACAAATTGATTTACTGGTCTTACATAAACAGCTCCTCGCTCTTTTAACATCTCTGTATTACACAATTTCCTATATAATTGCGATTCACTCAATAATAGTTTTTTTGTTTTAATTTTACCATTTTACTGAAAAAGTTTAAGATCACTCATAGCATCAATAAAAGTTTAGGATGATTTTTTTTTACAACCCTGCTTCTAACGCCACACTTGCTATAGCCGCTGCTATTATTATGGACTGTTCTATGTTCTAATTAGTCTTTCACTGGTTAGGGAAAACGTCATTTCACCAATTCCTTACACCAGTTGATTTTTTTGTTGTGGGATCCAAAAATTTGAATCTCAAGCACCAGTATTTTCTTTTACACGTACATGAGCAGTTCTTAAGTACTCTCTCGTCCATCCCGAGCCCTGAGGTCACAAATCAAAGTGTGTAGTGTGTCCCCTGGGGCACAGACAGCAGAGGCCTCTCTTGGAGCAGTAGAGACAGTTGATTTGTGCCTGTGTGTATAAGCAAAACCAGGATCTGCACAAACATTGGAGGGACTCACCAGTGGCCCATCATTAAGGCAGTGTTGGGTCGGGCTGGTCTCCTCACATTGCTCTCGTGTTGTGCTAAGGGCCCTTGAGGACTTGGGGCCGGCCGCCGTGAGTCCAGCTCCGGGTTTTTGGTGTTATCGTTGCGCCCTGCAGAGTGGAAAAGACAGCACAGAGAAAGGAAAATAAACAGAGATGACACAGTCTTTCCTGAGCTGCACATGGAGGAATCAATGGACTACTGCATGTGGGGTGTGACTGGAGAAGCATTCATTCAGCCCCAACACAGCCAGAGAATGTGTAATAGAAAAACTATGGAGCTGGGTAATAAATCAAATGAATAATATTGAATGTGTGACAACAGAGCAATGAGACAAAAATATATATATAAAAAAAAAAAATCAAAAAAGAGGTTTCTAAAAAGCACATATATAATAATTTGATTGTAGGCTAATATGAATGTACCCGTTTTGTATGAGGTTGTACTTAATAAATATAATAAGTTAAATCTATATTAAAAATGGTGGTCAGACTGTAGAACATATATTTGAGTAAGTATCAAAATGCTTTTTATTACAACAATAAATAATACGAAGCGTCTGTTAAGATTTTTAATATAAAATACAGGACGTCCTATTGAGAGATTTATTCTTCTTAACCCTGTTTGTTGTTATGCAATGATCTTGGATGGGTGGCAATACATTGTGCAATTATAAACGTTGTGTGTTATAAGCTGTGGCGCTATGGTCCTGGAGCAGAGCAGTGGGCTCCTGTCCTCTCTCTCTCTCTCCGTCTCTTTGGGTGATCTGACTGTAAGCCGCTCATCTTTTTCCCATTACTGCTGTTTTCATGCTTCTTCCTGTGTGAGCGTGTGCCCCTGCAGTTGTTTATTCTCTCCTCTTCCGACTGTGAAAAAAACTACAGCTCTAATATGAAAATTGCATGAATCGCAAGTATTTTATTTTTAACAAATAAATAATATATGAAATTATATGGAACATTTGTTGCATAATTTATTTTAAACCCCGAAATATGGGATATATTATGGGATATATTATTATCATATTTTATATTATATAGGCTTATTACATATATTAATGCATTTGTACAATGCTGTATTGTTTATAAACAAATATTGATAAAACACATAATTTCTCTCTGCAAAACTTGATTGTGAATGTATTCGTATTTATATATTATATAAATAAAAATTAAGATAAAATTAGGCTTCACACAAATGTTGGTTATTTAGTTTTACTGTAACATAAATAATGAAGAGGAATACCAAAATACTGAATGAGTAGTTGTATTAAAGGAATGAATAAATTTGAACAGCCAATATGTAACCAATAAGCTTATATAAATGTATTTTAAAAAATGTATTGGGGAAAAATAGATTGGAATATTTGTTCTGATAGTGTGTGTGTATAATATGGGCAATGACTTATATTTGTTTCATTTTCCTTTCTCTTCTCATTAAAGACCTTGTAAATCCAGTAAAACTTTGGGCATGTGCTACATTTTAAAGCCTATTCGTATGGAACATAAATATTATCAGATTTATATTTTTTACACAAAAAATACCTCTGACTCCAGCTTGAAGCTATTGTAATTGAATCAACATGACGTGCAGTGCAGATGCTGGATATTATTAATTCGGACCTCCCTGAAGTATTTTACATCCCTCGCACTATTAATATACTAATATAAGCCTCAGTGTTTCCATTGTTGTCTAGACATCATCAAATAGGGTCTATGTTGAAATGCTGACCCTGTGGTCAGACTGCAAGGGATTTAGTATATATTGTTAATATTATTAACTTTTGCATATTTAAGTTGAATTGTCTAACTAATATACATATTTCATTATTTGAACTAAGTATACCCTGTACATTTGACTTTTGCATTAAAGTACACTATTTTCCCTATCATTTGAGCTATTAATAGGATATAAGATATTATATTAAAGGTGGCGACATAATAAACTGGAAAGTGCATTGTTTTAGACTGAAGGCAGTTTAGATATAATGTGACTAGAACATTCCTCGGGCTCATGAAACAAGGTGTTGAGAAGGGTAGAAAAAGTAAGCGCAACCTCTTACAATGCAAAATCGGACGCAGCTGCTGAAGTAGGGACTCAGGATTTAGTCCTGGGTTTACTCCATGAGAAAGTCTTTGGGCTGAAAAGACGATGTGTGGTCTCTTCCTGCCGTCATCTGCCTCTTAGAAGGGAAAGCCAAATATGGTTGCCACATTTGTGGCATTTATTTTCACTGCTACAACCTGAACATACGTTTTGTCACTGGAATACCAAAAGGCAGTGGGGCTTGACTAATGGCCCCTGGCAACATGTCGGCGTGCGCTGACAGTAAATGGTTTGGTCCGGCTCAGTTCTCGTGCCAGTGGACAGATGCGCCGCGCTGTGTGAGGGTGAAGGTGCCTGTGCTGCAGGCGTGTGGACCAGCCTGCTGCACTGTGTTTCCGGTAACAATCTCCTCATAGAAGAAAATAAAAGAGCTGAGGATGGATGAGGATGGTCATCCCATTAGGTAAAAGTAAGTTATGGAGATACTCAAACTAGTTCAGTACCTGGATTGTAAACACTAAATAATAATGTACATTTTGTAGGATGTGTTTAAAATGCTTGTTTGTCTACAGCTAAG